CCCAGTCCTCACTCTTAAAAAGCTTAATCTACCAGGGAGAAAATGTAGTAAGTGTGAATTTTGCTTTGTGGAATGTTACGTAACACATGCTGTAAATGCTATGAAGGGCTGTGTGAGGCAGAGCACTGGGACAGGTGAGGGAGCGATAGAGACACTGGGGTAGGTCAGGCCGAGGTAACGGTTTCAGAAACAACTAGTACACAAAGGGAGCCAGAAAGGCACAATGGCTCTGCTTAATTTTATAACACTCAAGTCTAAAAATGAAATGACAAATAATAAATACATCCAGGTAATAAGATAAATAAGTGAGTCTGACCAGTGTGGCTCAGGTGGTTGAGCACTGTCCCATGCACCAGGAGGTCACCAGTTCGATTCCCATCAGGGCACACGCCAGGTTTCACTAGGGGGCATGCAGGAGGCAGCCAATGGATGTTTCTCAGCAATTTTTCTCTCTCTCCTTCTCCCTTTCTCTCTCTTAAATCAATAAAAACACATTTTTAAAAAAGATAAACAAGTGAGAGTCAAATAGAGAGAAGTAAGACACTGATTAGATGATTTATTACTAACAGTTTTTGCAGAAGTAGTGCATCTCACTATAAAGATCTTTCCTGTCAACTTCTCTCCTAAGGTGCTTCTGGGAGATTTAAATTATCTTCTAACTCCCAGCCACATTTATTTGTCTTCAAGTGATCATGCCTTCCTTCCTCCAGCTGGTTTTCTAATTCTTCAGTTTCTAGAAACTCATAAACAGAAAAAAAGCTGATAAAAATAACTTGATATCATGTGAAGAGTTGCCGCATTAAAGGAATCCTTTTGTTGCTTAACAAAGATCTTATTTCTATTCTTAAATAGTTCTCTAATAGGAACCAAAATTGATATGTAATGTTTGAACGACTTTGAATGGTTTACACTTAGGTTTCATATGCTATTTTAAATGTACATATAACATATTATTCCTATTTTTTTATTTCACAGAGTTATAAGTTATCCTATGAATAAAAAAGCCATCTAACAAATTCTGATCCAAAATGAAGTTTACCTTATACCTTGGTTTCAGAATGTATAAAGCTTTCACCTTTTACAAAATGTGGTTAACCACAATATTTCAGGTAGTTTAATGGAAGGAAAAGAAATTAGAAGAGTTGTAAAAAGGAAGAAAAAAATATGGGAAAACATAATGAATCTAAGTTTCCCTTAGAAAACAACCTTTCAAGTGAAATGTAACAGTTCTAACAAATGCTGAATGACCATTAGAGAAGCCACATGAATTGCCATGAGATCCTTTAATGGTTATAAACAGGAAAACTGTCCTTTAAGACAAAAATTAGATATTTTCACAGTGAAAGTTAGGCAAAGGTCTTGGAAATTTTTAGAATGGTTTGCTTAAAAAACTCATCGAGCAGTTCTGAATTACTTGATTACAGATTGGTTTTCTCTGTGAAAACCACATACAATATGAAGTATTAGCACGTAACCAACAATCACATAGCGTATTATAGCAAAGGGAGACGCCTCTCCTGATGGCAAATGGTGAGAAATGTAAACTAGATGGCACAGCATTGAGAGACAGCCCACCATTGTTCCCTGTGATTTAAATCATCTGTCAGGAAGAAAACACTGAGTTCGAATGAAACAAATAAACCGACATAATAAAGACACAGAATCTTTCAAAACACAGTACAACAGTAAAATCTAGCCCTTCTTAAAAATATTAGAACACCGTTAGTTAAAAGGCCAATTTTCACAGGCAATAATATAAGTTAACCTAAAATAACGGTTACTGTGGTGGCTCTAAAACATGTATGCAGCCCAAGCCAGTTCTGCTCAGTGGTTAGAGCATCAGCCTGCGGACTGAAGGATCCCGGGTTCAATTCCAGTCAAAGGCATGTACCTTGCTTGGTTGCAGGCTTGGCTCTGGTTGGGGCTCGAGCAGGAGGCAACCAATTGATGTGTCTCTTTCATGTCAATGTTTCTCTCTCCCCCCCTTCCATTCTCTCTGAAAAAGCAATGCAAAAAAAATATTCTCAGGTGAAGATAAAAAATAAAACATGTATGCAAATTCTCTGACACCCCTCTCTTCAAATGATGGGCCAGGCTTAGTGCCTCACTTCTAGTAAAAAAATGTCAGATGTGAGGCTATGTAACTTCCATGACTAGGTCATTAAAAGGATCGCGCTCCTGCCTGGCATGCAAGCTTTGTCATGTGCTGGCTCTTAGAACCCAGCCATCACATTGTGAGGAAGCCCAGGCCACCAGCATCGACGTGCCAGTCACATGTGGGAATCACCAGTCTTCAATGACTCCAGCACCCGGCCTTTACATCTCCTAGCTCAGGCCCCAGACACTGTGGAGCAGTGATGAGCGTCCCTGCCAAAGCAGGGAATTCCTGTGAATTCCTGACCCATAGAAATGGAGACGATAAAAGATTATTGTTGTTTGAAGCCACTGTTTTGGGGCAATTTGTTTTGCAGCAATAGAGAACTAAAAGTTACCCGACTGCACACACCATTAAACAAGCAAGAATTCTTTTTCAAAATGAAGAAAATAATCTTTATGCCAACCAATTTAGGATATATCTTCCATTTAATAAGTTTGGTCGGTTTTATTTAATACAATTAAACTTCATTAATATAAACTTTTCTAATTTGAAATCTGAGAAAATTAGAATCTAAATCTTAGAGTGTTTAGGCTGAATGTCATCATAAGGTTCTGGAAAGGAGAGTTGAGGTAACCCACGAAAGACTACAAGGAGAGTACTGAAGCTAATGAAAAGAACCGATTATTTTAAAGTATTTTAAATACTGCGCTCTCCACATAGAAGGCACTTGATAGTTACAAAATGTCTAATAAACATTAGAAGCCCTAAATTCTTCCTAATCACCTTTTACATGTTAGTTTTAAAGTATTCTATTTGGCAAACTGGTCAGCTTAGTTCATGCAAATCTATTTGTACATACAGACATTTTATCTTTTCCTAATAAAAGGGGAGCTCTGTGAGGGCATCCTTACTTTGTTCATCTCTGTGTTCCCCAAAGGACATAACACAATGTTGTAGGTCAAATACTGTGATTAACAAATATTTGTGCAAATGATAAAGCTGCACAGATATGCCAAAGCTAACTCAAGTCTTACAGTTCATTTTTTCTTTCACTTATTTGTTCTGCCCTCCCCATGACCACTCCAAGCGAGTTTTATCATATTTCCAAGAGCATGCTGCACACCTCTTTATATCATCTACTAGCTTACTTAGAGTGGAGATACAGATACAAATGTTTGCCGAGCATAACTGGTCATCCATGGTGATGAAGCTGTTCCCCACATCTCCGGGACTATGTGCTGCTGAGCTCGCTGCACATGCGCAGCTCCGTCCTGGTGGAGGGCACTGGCCCCCCCCGGGGTGGGCAGTGGGGACGCCTGCTCATCTCCTTCTGCAGCTCGCGACAAGAAAACCTAATCCATAAGATCTCTACTCCATTACAGGCAGAGATTTACAGATCAGCATTATTAAAGTATTACAAAGACATGCCATTCTGCTTAGGATAGAAAAGAATAAAGACTGCTTTTTTTTTTATTCGTCCGGCTTAGTCAGAATTGAGACCAAACTTCTGTGACAGGGTTATAGCCCCTGTGCTCAGACTTACACTTTTCACTGAATCAGAATCCTGAAATACTTATTTATAAGGTTACAACTGTCTCTGAAATTAATCAGTTCACAAAGCAATAGTTTTCCCATACACATTCATACTAATTACTAGTATAAATAAGATATTCATAATTTCTCCAGTTTCAATCTGAACAGCTAATCTGTAGTAGCAAGATGGAGGTTCTGGAACAGATTTCCTAATTCATTGTATGGCCCTAGACAAGCCGCCAGATCCCTGCCTTCACCCATATCTCACAGGCATAGGACCATTTAAACCTACTTTATAGACAAGGAGGAACAGAATTCATGTGAAAACATTTTGCTAAAGTTGCTAAACAAACATAAGGTAAAATACGTATCANTTTGTTCATCTCTGTGTTCCCCAAAGGACATAACACAATGTTGTAGGTCAAATACTGTGATTAACAAATATTTGTGCAAATGATAAAGCTGCACAGATATGCCAAAGCTAACTCAAGTCTTACAGTTCATTTTTTCTTTCACTTATTTGTTCTGCCCTCCCCATGACCACTCCAAGCGAGTTTTATCATATTTCCAAGAGCATGCTGCACACCTCTTTATATCATCTACTAGCTTACTTAGAGTGGAGATACAGATACAAATGTTTGCCGAGCATAACTGGTCATCCATGGTGATGAAGCTGTTCCCCACATCTCCGGGACTATGTGCTGCTGAGCTCGCTGCACATGCGCAGCTCCGTCCTGGTGGAGGGCACTGGCCCCCCCCGGGGTGGGCAGTGGGGACGCCTGCTCATCTCCTTCTGCAGCTCGCGACAAGAAAACCTAATCCATAAGATCTCTACTCCATTACAGGCAGAGATTTACAGATCAGCATTATTAAAGTATTACAAAGACATGCCATTCTGCTTAGGATAGAAAAGAATAAAGACTGCTTTTTTTTTTATTCGTCCGGCTTAGTCAGAATTGAGACCAAACTTCTGTGACAGGGTTATAGCCCCTGTGCTCAGACTTACACTTTTCACTGAATCAGAATCCTGAAATACTTATTTATAAGGTTACAACTGTCTCTGAAATTAATCAGTTCACAAAGCAATAGTTTTCCCATACACATTCATACTAATTACTAGTATAAATAAGATATTCATAATTTCTCCAGTTTCAATCTGAACAGCTAATCTGTAGTAGCAAGATGGAGGTTCTGGAACAGATTTCCTAATTCATTGTATGGCCCTAGACAAGCCGCCAGATCCCTGCCTTCACCCATATCTCACAGGCATAGGACCATTTAAACCTACTTTATAGACAAGGAGGAACAGAATTCATGTGAAAACATTTTGCTAAAGTTGCTAAACAAACATAAGGTAAAATACGTATCATTTTATCACACTAATTTCTAATATTTTATTTGCTTTTTATAATTTAACCAAAATAAAGATTGCATACTTTCGGACTACAAAACACAGTAATTACACAAGGTGAATTAAAGTCGTAAAGCTGGTCATAATAGTAAACCCATTCATCCATGCTCTCATCTAATTAAGAAATAATAATTATAAAAATAGGTAAAATTTTGTGAAAAGATTCCTATTTATTCTATCTTAGGAGTTCTTGCCCATATCGATGGACTGTCTGGCATCGGACATGGCATCAGGTACTTGAACAGTCATTTTGTCCATAGACTTTGTCAAACAGATTTGGCAGCCCAGCCGGGATCTGTATAAAAAAGGGGGAGGGATGATTTAGTATTAAGCATATATTATTCATAAAACAATGCTGTTGTACAGAACATTTTCTTACCCAAAGAAGTTGAGAATTTATTTACCTTTTACATTTCTATTAAGTTGAAAAAAATACATTCAACCCTCAACTAGAGGGTAACAAAATGTGAACATGAAAAGCAAAAAGCCTAGTGGGCCACAGCTTCCTTTTAGTCTTTCATCTCCATCATCTACTAATTGTTTCACCAGAACTACTGCTTTTTGGTGAAAGGACTGACAAGCAATAAAATAATCAGAACGCACAACAGTGGAGAAGAGAACTGAGGTTTTAGCAATGCCAAGAAAATGACTAATCAATTCCCAGACAATTAAAACCATACAGACCATATAAGAAAGTATCTAAAACAAGAAATTTGGAATAAACACAGACAGAAGTCCTCAATGATCAAATACATATTTTCCCCACGTTTTTTACATCTCTAAAATCAAGATAAGTCTTAAAATCAATGGCATCTAACAATCACTGCTACACTGGGAGGTGACAGTCACATGAGAGCTGCAAACTTGGTTACAATATTCATATAGGTGTCTCTTCAAATGAGTTATGAGAAGTACGTTACTGCTACATGTGTTGAATTTAACTGCCAGTCAAAATGATACTGTTGTAATTAGCTAGTTATTAACACTAGGAAAGGAGCAAAGGAAGACCAGAAACTATAGGCATGTCATCTGGGCAGCTTCACCAGGAAGCTGCAATTTCACACTCCCCAGGGAACCACCAGCCCATCCCCTGCAGATAACTCGGGGAAGGGACTGGACAAAGGGAAAGCTGGGTGCATACACAGTACAGGGAAGATGCCTGTACTGTGTCAGTCAAACCCGGGAACAGAGACCATTGGCCAGAGAGGGCAGGGCCTATGCAAGCCCACAAAAATTTGGGAATGCATAATCCCACAGACAAAGGAGCTCTCTCTCTTGGCTCGTGGGGCTCTCTTGTTCCTGCTTCCTTGCATTCGCCTGTGTTCCCTCCATATCCATGTGGTCCTATGGACCCCACACTCAATGGACTAATGGGCTGCAGCTGGAAACCCTTACTAAGCTAGCCTGATGCTGGAATGGACACTGCTCCAACGTGGAACAAAAACTCTGGACACTGGCTCTGAAAATATAATGGGACTTTTTTTCTTGGCAGGACAAAGGGAAATGGGGCTGTGGAAACTCAGGGGTGTAATTCCACAGAAATAAAGCTTTCTATAATACCTCATCCTCCATGGAGGCCTCTGGAAATTCTTATTCTAGCGGCACCCGAAGAACCTCACTGTTGTTAATAAAATGGGTGCAAAAAGATTACAAAAGAAAAAATTAAGAAAACAAACACAGCAGAGTGTAAATGTGATATTTGTAAAAGTGTAAATTTGATATTTGTAAAGCAATTTGTCACTGGAAGAATAACTGTAATTCCATTTTTTCAGAATTACTACCAATTTTATTTATATTTTCCTTTTTTAACAGTGACATACAAATCTATGCCTAGGTTAATTCAAAATAGCTCTTTTACTATGCACAAAATAGGTTAAGTGATAAGATAACTTTGTGCCATATTTTTTCTACCAGAACTTTTTTCTTTCTTAGTAGCAAACAAAAATAAATGCCATCTTACAATCAAATCATCTTCGATTTGACTGAATGTGATATGGAGGTCTTGGTTTCATTAACATATTTTCATCAAGCATTTCCTGAGCATCTAAAGGCACAGTACTAAATATCAGTGTGGGTACAAAGAACAGCAACTCATTCAAACAGCCCAGTGGTCCAGAATCCAGCCTGAACGTGGTGTGTCCACTTTCTTAGTGCCCCTCCCCAAACACTCGTTTCCTAATCTCATCCTAAAGATGGATAAGAAACAGGTTCTTCACTGGACTGTGGCAAGGACTAGTTGCTAATATTAGTATTAAGGAGTGCAATCTCAATCAAATAGAAAAGGTGAGACCCATTCGCAGATAATATAATATATGAGCTTGTGAGAAATGCCACAGAGAGTGGAAGCCAAAAGGTCTGAGGAGAAAACACTTACTTCTGTCCAGGGGAGGTGGGGTTTAGAATGGGCTCCAAAGGCTGGGTAGGATTTAATATTTAATAAAAGATAAAGCAGAAAGGCATTTGAGGCAAAGGTAACAGAATTCAAGGCAAGTTTGAGGCACTGTGGGCTTTTAGCTTGGCTGGTAAGCAGAGCAAACAAGGACAGGAGAGTGATAGGCTGGAAAGATGGCTCAGCCACAGACAGCTCTGAACAGCAATAAAGGAGCTCAGGTCTTAATTGGTGAGCAATGAGGAACCACTGGGACGTTTTTGAGTGAGGGAGTAAGTGTAACCATGGGAAATATTGATCGCTAATAGAAAAAGAAATCCCCTTCTACCAACAGTTCCCATTTGCTGAATTAGAAACAGCCTTGACAATACTCAAGCGCACATTAAGCTCCGTGTGCCAGAGAGAAAATGAGACAAACCAACGTAGACCAATTCATTAGCGCTGTGGTGAGCCCTGGAGGGACAGCCGCTTATTCTTGGTGTTCATATGAAGACAAGGAGGATAATGCTAGTCTTCAAGGAACTTTTAATTTAGTAAGAGAAACGGAGAAATAGCCATCAATGAAATGGGGCACAGTACAGTAAAAAGTGTGTCATGGGAACACAGAGAGGGGTGGCACTGAGCCCCTGCTGGCTCTATGACCCTGGAAGATACGGCCTTGGCAGTTGGAGGCCGTTCTCTCCGTCTCCTACCTCTCCACTTCCTTAAGGTCTCCGGCTTTTAGGTCCACCCCGTGTGGCAAATGTCTTCCCCCTCCAGAGAAGGAGACAGCAGTCTTTTTCCTTGATCTCACTATTAGTCCCACAAAATTTTGACATTTGTGCAAACCTTGGAGATACTTTCTCCAGTCACCCTCGTCATATATACCTGGCAGTGGAAATATACTGGGTGTTGTGTTTACTTCTAAGGGTAGAGAAGCTTGAAAACGTAAAAAATCAAGGGCTTTGGGCCCCAAATAAACTGACTGAAATCAGGACCGTCACTCTGTAGCTGTGAGGCCTTGTGCAAATTTCTGATAACTACGCCTTGTTTTCCAACCTAAAAATGGGGATAACTCTGATGGCTAGAAATAATCTTTAAGTGCCTCTACATTATAGTAAGAATCCGACACATAAACCAATGTGATTATAGCTATAATGCTAACAATGACTATCCAATGAATGCTTTCTCCACAGCGCTTCACACAGCAACCCTATGAGGTAGCTGTTCTTATCTTCATCTTACAAATACGGAGACTGAGGACTCTGTGTAGGATGCCCTTGGAAAAGTGGCAGCAAGCGCTGACGATCATCAAATGCAGTCACAGAGAACTCCTGAACCTCTCTCTATCAGCCATTAATTCCACAAGTGGTTGGCGATGCCCTACTGTGAGTGCCATAAAAGCCAGTCCTTCCTCTTCACTATCTTGTTCTAAAACTTCTCAATTTTATTATCAAGGTTCTTGGCTAGTTCACATTTACATTAGGTCTTTTGTATCTTTTCACATTTGTGTATCTCTTCTAACTATGGCTCTCCTCAAATTTTCTTCTTTTCACTTAGAGTACTGTCTGTTCCATGCACGGGCAAATGTTATCGAAATAAAAGGGCAAGCACTTAGCCATGATTTACCCCTCTCCCTCCCATTAGGAGATGAACAATTCTTAGGACCAAATTAACACAGTCTTGAGTGTATGAATTATCTTTATGAAAAGAAGGTGGTGATAGAGACTGGTACCTGAAGACGTGAGGGGGCAGGCAGATGGCAGCCGTAAGCTGCTTTGCTTGGGAGTCTAAGGAGACACTACTTCCCCAGTTTCTCCTCCCAGGTATCAGTCTCACCTCCACCAAGAGGGAAATGAACTACGAAAGGAATAAAGTTATTCTTCACCTCTAAATAAATGCCAATGACCTAAACATTTTTGTGAGCATAAGAAAGTTTATGTTTTTAGATAAGATAGTTTGTTAAGGGTCTAACAAAACTGTAGTTATATAATACACCTGAAATAAAGCTATTATTATTACTGTTTTTTTTTAATTATTTTTCATTAGGGTTACCAAATTACAGGTAAACACCAAAGCCAACCTTACATAAGTCCTCATTATCTTTCCCCTTAAAACAGTACATCAACTAGCTACTTCCCCTAACTCCAACCAAAAAATTGGACAATTTTTAAGAATAAGGCATCACTTGATATCACTCACTTGCTACTTTAGATCTCACCACTTTTTAAGAGTAATTCTACCTATTAATAACAAGAATAACCTCTGACTGATGGAGTTTAATGCACACTTAGAAATAGAACTATTCATTTTAACATAATTAGTATTATATATTAAGTTTCTTTAGAAATTCTGTTCTCCAGTAGGTAAAACTTTCCATTTTAATTTCATTCAATTATCAAATCTGTCCTTCAATAATACCATAAAAAGCATTAAATTTAACCCTAATTCACGAAACTGTGATAAATATTTATTCTGGAATAAAAATAGACTAAAAGATTTATTTCTTTACTTTTATAAAAAGGAAACTTTCATAATGGCTAGACTTTAGAATAGTAAAAACAAAGAGAAATGTCATGTATTTTATATTCACAGTTTGTAACTGCTACCTATCTACGCAGGAAGATCACTATTACACACACAGGTCTGGTCTCAGATAGAGGTGAACTAGTGAAACTTGTCTCTTGGCCGACCATCAGTACAACTGAAGTGGCCCTAAGATCTTACCTCTCTGTTAGCCCGTACGCCAGATCAAGCATGTCGTTCTCCTCATCAGTGATCGCGTCTAACTGATCGTATATGTGCTTCTCAAAGATGAGGTGGCAGGTAGAGCAGGCCAAGGTTCCCTCACATGCACCTACAAGAGCGACAGACATTGAACACACTCCGCTCTGCATTAAACACAATTCAAACTGGGTCTGAATTAAAGTTAATTATTTCTACATTTTAGAATCGGCATTAGCATACACACATAGGGCTTTATTTCTGAATAATAATGAGAATTAGGGACAACCCCCCCACACACACACAATGTGAAATCACTTTCACATATCGTCTGAAAGAGCCCAGTGAGCAAACCTACGTCTAAACAACGGTTCATATTCCTCCCTCTCGGTCTTTCCTTGCGATCGGGGCAGAACCAAGTAAGTTCCCTTCAAGAGTCACATTGGTTTTGAATAATGAGAAATTTCTCCTGTCCCATTTTTAAGCTATTAATTTAACAGTTACTACCGAGTGCCTATTATATGCCAGGCACTGTGAAAAGGGGGGAACTGAGAAGTCATCTGGTCCAACCAAACCATGACTGAACCTGCTCTGCATATCCTTTGGCCAGGGCCTAGCCAACCTCTGCTTGAAAGCCTCCTGAGAAAGCAAGCGCGCCTGTGTAGCCGGCCAGCTTGCACTGAGCTTCTACCAAGCTAGTCTGTAAGGCTGACTCCCACCTGCTGGTCCAATACTACCCCATGGAATCCAATCCTCACCCCCCTGCAATTTACTGAGATACAATAGACAAATAAAATTGTAAGATATTTAAAATGTACAATGTGATTTTATATACATATACATTGTAAAACTATTCCTCTCATCTAGTTAACACATCCATTTTATATATAAATTTGGGGAGAACATTTAGGTTCTATTCTCTTAGCAAATGTCAGTTATACAGCAGTGTAGTCACCATGTTATATTTTAGCTCCTCAGACCTTACTCATCTCATAGCTGAAAGTTTGTACCCTTTTACCAACCTCTTCCTGTTTTTCCCACCTCTAGCCCCTGGCAACTACTTTTCTCCTGTTTCTATGAAAATTTTATAAACTATTTAGTGAATCCTTCTTTTAAACAACAGCTTTTCATATATTTGAGACTGTTCTTCCTTCTCCAGGCTGAGCACACTCAAGTCTTTCCAGTTTTGCTTACGTAACAGTTCTACACCCCTTCTCTCAGCCTGGTTGGGCTCCTCTTAAACTATGGCAGCCAAGGGGGTCTGGCAAAGAAGAATGGTGCAGCATTGTGTTCTCGTTACATTCTACCTTAAAAATTGTTTTTCTGGTTTATTTTTTAATACTAATTTTTAAAAACCATTATACAACTTTGTCCTGGCCTATGTGGCTCAGTGGGTTGAGCATTGTCCTGTGCACCAAAAGGTCATGGGTTCAATTCCCAGTCAGGGCACATACTCAGGTTGCAGGTTCGATCCCTGGTTGGGGTGTGTAGGGGAGGCAACCACTCGATGTATCGCTCTCAAATCAATGTTGCTCTCCTTCTCTCCCCCTCTCCCTTTCTCTCAAATAAAAAATCAGAAAAAAAATAAAGTAAAAGAGCTACTTATTAAATAAATACATAAACAAAAATAAAAACCATAATACAACTTTGAAGATTACAGACTCCTAGGAGCTACTTCAGTTTGATTTAGATTCTCTTTTGGTCAGTAAACAACATATAAAATACGTAAGAAAACTACTATCAATAACTAGTAACCTTAATTTTCCTCTGAATGGATAATTTTTAACAAGAATGGTTCCCTCATAATTTAAACATTTGTTATTCATATTTTGTTATTTTTAAAAAAATCAAGAAAGAAAAGAGAGGCTTCCTTAAACGTTCACTTTTTAAAATACGTTTTTATTGATTTGAGAGAGAGAGGAAGGGAAAGAGAGAGATAGAAACATCCATGAGAGAGAAACATCAATCAGCTGTCTCCTGTACACCCCATACTGGAGATGGAGCCTGTAATCCAGGTCATGTGCCCTGACTGGGAATCTATCTGGTGACCTCTTGGTTCATGGGTCGATGCTCAACCATTGACCCATACTAGACAGACAAAAATGTTCATTTTTATAAAATCTAATTCAAAGACATAATAAGACTAAGTAGAGAGAGAACATATAGTGAAGTACGGGAGTCATAAGTGAGGGCTCTGGAGCCAGACTCCTTGGCTTCAATCCCAGCTCCACTTGTACTACCAGCCATCAACTTGAGCTACTTAACCCTCCATACCTCAGTTTTCTCAAAAGTTCATCTGCACCAACATCACATGTTAGTTGTGAGCATTACATATGAATCTGTACTTCACATATGTACTTGCAACTGACTGGTAGATAGTAAGCACTATGTAAGTGTTGGTAATTATTATTACTTGAAAATTATAAGAAATCTTAGAGTAATTCAACTTTCTTTTTATAAACATATTAAGAATTAAACCCAAGAAGTTAAATAAATACACTAAGGTCATACTACTAGTTAGAGATGAGTCATAACTTTAGCTAAATTTCCCAAAGCTGAAGACAATTAGATCCTTTGACTCAATAATCTAAGTCACCTGAAGTATTAGATATATAAAAATGTATACACATATATAATGCACAAATATACATACACACCAATTGGTTATTTGAACAAGTAGCTTAGTTTTCTATTTTTGTGTAAATTTGAAATATTTCACACAAAAGGTAAATGGATATACTTTGCTTAAAAAGGGCATTCTCTGCTTAAAATACACACACACACACCATATATATATAAAGTTTAGAAAACCTGCAGTAAAGGGAGAACTGGTGTAGTGCAGCCTTGAGGTCGGGGCCAGGCTCTAGATGGACCTACCACACCGTCTGCTGTGTCCTGGGCAAGCCTCTCAGGCCTGTTTTCCTCTCATATTTATAATAAGAGATTGAGGTAGATGATCACTAAGGGCCTGTTGCCTCAAATATTTTATGACTCCACAGAGAAGTATTACCACTCTTAATAGATTTATTCCCTAGTATTCAATAAATATATACTTATCTTGATTTCTATGTTTATCTTATCAATACCCAATGCAGACAAACCCAAAACTAAAATGGCAAATCCCTCTGGAAATATTGCAGCACAAAAGTCAGGAAATCCAACCTCCTTTTGTCTTTAAAATATAAAACAATCCTTACAAAATATTCTCAGCAATTTTCTTCAGATTTGTTATTAAAATAACAAATCCTGAGACGTGCAAGCCAAGTATAACAGAAGATGGAAGGAAAACAAAACTCACAGTCCGGGGCAGGATGAGGTGGGGGGGCTGCAGAGGCAGGGGACCAAGCATGGAGAGTCTCCCATGCTTCCCTAAGGAGCCTGAACTTGTTCTATAAGCCAGTTACTCTCCACCTTGTTTCCCAACACACTGGGTGGGTAACAAAGCTCAGTTAACCATCTTTTATGGTGAGCTGCCACAGATATGACACTGGCCAGGGGCTATGAACACCGGTCCCTCCTCTCCCAGATCCATGTAGTAGGGAACCTCTGCTACAGGTTACAGAAAGCTGCCAAAGGAGTTTGAGCAGGAAAGTGATGTGTCAGCTTTATTTTCGATAGATGTCACTGGTGGTTGTGTGTAAAGGCTGGATTTAAGATAGAAAAGACAGAAGCGAAAGCCAGGAAGTTTTACAAAGGGGGAGGGGGAAAAGAGGGAAGGAAGGATCAGAAGCAGGGAGCGCCAAGGTGAGACCCCCTCCTAGAAAGGGAGTCAAAACAAGAATGTCCCAAATGGTAGAGAGAACCCGAAAAGTACATGTGAGAGCAGCCTGGGGAAGAAGAGAGTGCACACAGTATGGTCCCAATCATCTGGGAATGGAGAGAAAAGTTCACATGCCCATAAATCCTTCCAGAAAAATCTAGGACATTCCTTTTTGTACCAACTGATCAGATGACACAAAGTGTTACCATCCACCCAGCTCTTCATACACTTTAAACTCTCTCTTCCCTGGGAAACGTCAATTCTTCTAAACTTTTCTTAAAGGTTTTATTTTCACTCTCTAATATAACTTTTATTGCCCTCTTCTGAACCTTGCCAATTGTTTCCACATCTTGCTTAAGTTGCCAAGCTCGGAGCTGAAGAGAGTATTCTAAGAAGAACTTGACAAATGTTGAGTGTATACAGATTAACTTTTGGTTCCCACACACTAAGTTCCTATTACACATTCTAGTACCATGTTTACTCTTTAAATAAATGGATCACATTCATGATGCCTCCTTATTTTATAGTCCCTTTCAAACTTCTCCACCACAAGCTGTGACCAGGTATGTTCTTCTTAGTCTTCATACTAGGAAGAAACTCAAATATAACAGAAAGTTTAAGACTCAGAATGAAATATTGAACACAGCCTGAATAGTGACTCAGAGAAACCTAATGTCATATTGTGGAACAAGTCCTACTACAGAGGAAAAAACTGCAGCAAAGACTGACAAGACTCCAAAGTACTTATTAGAACAGACAATCCAGAAAACCCCAAAATAATAAGACAATCTGAGCAGATTTTTAAAGGCTTTTTTTGAGATTTAACCTCTACGTTCTATAAAAAAGGAAGAATTTTAGAGAACAGTGAAGACATGTCTCTAAAAAAAAGCATTTCGTGAAAAAAAGATTTTTAAAAAATTGATCTGAGAGAGAGAGAGGGAGGGAGGGAGGGAGAGAGAGAAGCATCAATGTGAGAGAGAAACATTGATTGGTTGCCTCCCTCATGTGCCTCAACCTGGGACCGAACCCACAACCTGGGTGTGTGCCCTGACCAGGAATCAAACCCGCCACCTTTTGGTGTAGGGGAGGATGCTCCAACCAAGTGAGCCACACCAGCCAGGGCGAAAAAAATTTTTTAAGAGTCTAAAATTGTGAGAACAAGAGGTTATTTCAAGGAAAAAAAGTTACTCTGCTTTTATTCTTTATTAATCTCGTATCTCATTAAAAATTACTTTTTCATGATGGCTATTTCCTCCAACTTATTAGTGTCCTGGTCTTGTAATTACAGGTAGTCCCCAATAAATAAGCGTCTGACTTTTGTCTTTTTGACATACGGTTCTATGAATTTTAGCACATGTGTAAGTTTGTGTATG